ACACACACACACACACACACACACACACACACACACACACACACACACACATATATATATATATATGAACCCTTTCGACACAATCTCGTACATAGCGACAGTTGCGGTTAATGTCATTCGTGAAGACAGTATAAAGCTGAGTATAGCTAATTAAGTGGCAGTAGGTGTACTTTAATTTTTGTGTACGTAAAAATGGTCATAAAATCACATGTAGTGGCAGGTAAAGCTTAACTCTGGTTCGAAACTATAGAACGCTAGCACCACCGTCACCCTGCTTAACTTTCACGTTACACCAGAGGCACATTCTATATACTTACAGGGACAAATGGTATCGCTGATTATCTCAATGGTGATCATCTTGGGGGCGGCCATATTTGCAAACTCTCTACTTTGTATTCTAGAACCAGTTTGTTTGATTCATACAATTATAATTCCAATCTCGCTCAGAACTCCATATTTATATATATTATATATACATACAAATGTATTACAGATCACAGTTTGGATAGTCTTTAACCCCCCAAAGGGACAAATATTCTGGAATAAAAGCTACTCATTCAATTGTTCAAAAGCAACGTGTTCAAATGTTTGTTTGTATGCATGCTTTTTTTGCTCCAAGACAAGCCAATAGAGTTCACTTAATTTTTGTCATCACTTTGTATTCAATCAGAATCGGTTTATAAGTTCAGAACTGTTTTGAAGCGACGATCAATTGATAGTAGAAATGCTGACTTATTATTTAGGGGGTGCCTTATGGCCACAGACATATGGTCCACGGCTGTGACCTCATTGCGTTTTTTGTTGTCACGATAAAATCAAAATGTTTTATGTTTACGTTTTAACGTTTGCTTTTGTTTTGTCCTGTATCAATATTCGGGTTCTGGAGCCTCCGAGCCCTGAGGTGCAATCTATATTATATTTCATGTCTCCTAAAATATAAAATACGTTACCGCAGGTAAAAACCCTAAACCCCCCAAAAAAACAGTATAAAAAGAAAAATAAACGTAAATATAATTCGCTGCACCAAGAGACCGACAGGCGACAGTTGTAAAAGACGGGGGTTAATATGATACTGGGTATAAAATACCGCTAAAACGGTCTAAAAATAGCCGACCACCGAAAAGGTCAAAGTGAGAGCGGGGGGGGGGGGGGGGGCGAATTTTTATTTACACATTGCATCGGAAATCGATGAACTTGTCTCTTGGGGCCTGGGCTCTTGTGGTCTCTTGGGTTGCTAAATCGTCTATTGCTGAGTTGCTCGTACTGATGGCAGAAGATAGTGAATGTAGAAGAACCGTCTCTGACGTTGAACCACACGCCACGCGTCTTACTATTTAGGTATCTGCTAGAAAGACGTGAGAACATTTAAAGGTTGTAGAACGAAGAAATCAAGCACCCGTTGAATCCATAGAACAACCTCGGGGCATTCGGGGACCACAACAACCCAAGAACAGCAATTATTTATTTTATAGTTAGATGCTTGTGCATATATCGACACGTGAACAGAGATCCTGTACACAACTAAATAGAAACGCACAGTAATGATATTGTGAATCTCAACTATAAGAAAAGTAAGCGAACTCATGGTGTATCATAGGAAGCTAAGTCGCCATGTCAGGGTCAGGGCCGGGCCGGGTGAAGGTGCGCACTGGCAGGCCGTCATCACAGCCAAGCAAACCGGTGTTTGAGATCTCCCAACTCACCAAGGAGCAGCGGATGGTGTACAACGAACTGGTATGTTTATACTTTGGGTTGTCGTACTTTAGAGATGAGTGTATGTGTTGAAAGTTGGATGGTATTGTGATTCTGAAAAGCGAGCAGTTGTAGTACATGCGTTGTTCGGCTTTTTATTTACAGTGATCTTCCAAATTATCAACTATTATTTAGATAATCGAGAAGTACACACAGAGACACGGCACGGACTGTATTTCTACTCTTCTATTTTCCGGATTGACCGATTAATTCGAGTGGTTATTTGAGTTTGAGTTTGAGTTTCAGTTTGCACCGGATTCGCGTTTGGCAGATGGTGTGCAGAAGATGGCAAACACAATTGCAGATACACGGATACATTGTGCTGTACTTCGTAAGGGTTGGTTTTTTATAGAATAGTATATGTCATCAGATGCGAGCGCGAATAATTGTCTTCGTGTGATCTGCTGGTGGATGTCGGTCCGCCGATGGTGTGAGAATATCGTTCGTTATCCGGTTCTATGCTGAGGATATTAGTAGAATACAAATACACCGCAAAGTGATGTGGGATTTGTAGTGTACACAGGCAAACAAGCTTGATACTGATGGAATGAGTTGAATGTATCATATCGTTTCTTATTCACACCTGACATGTTTAGAGCTGTCAATATAGTCAATGACACTATAACTCCTCTGCGCACACGCATAGCAACACAAGTATATCAAGATTCGGTGAGCCACATATCACTATAGCGATAGTAAAGATACTATGTCCATTGTATATATGTGATTCGCTTATCTTGTATGTTCTATCCTACACCTATAAAAACGGTTGTTTGCATGTAGACGTATGTTTTACGGATATATTCATAGCCTGACAGTATCGGTTTTTTATACTATGATCTGTGAAATTGTGCAACATGCTTCATATGTTTTCGTATTACGTCGAGGCAGTCTGTGCGCTAACAATTTTAAAGAACTCTTGGTGACTAGTATCACACAACACCATTATTGTAAACGAATTAGTTATATGCATATATATAGATGACCCACAACCTTTGAATGCGAGCACGGAACGATAGCGTGTCAGATAGCCGAATGTATAACCGAAAAAGCTTTCACAATGGAATTATTGACGATCTCATGTAGTAGCACAATCATTCTTGTACAACATGTCCGTACACTTATCCTATTGACCGCTTTAATGAACCTATCTACCTAAGCCCTTGGTGCGTAGCGACGGTTCTATACACACATCCACAAGCGGTGTTCATAAATTGCTATCAATTTTGTATATCTCAGACTGCTGAGCTGGAAAAGCTACGCAAAGATGTGGATCAGAAGCTTGAGAAAGTGCCACACACGATACATAAAGCTAAAAAGGGGTCTGGCAGGAAAGAACTGGCAGCTGGCATTGCCAAATTATTCACAGAATCGGACAGTTCGGATTCGAAATTGCCGGATGTGGGCGAATTTCCAGATGCGAAGCCGCTGCCGAAGGCAAGCTCATGGACAGCTCTGTTGGCGAAACTCAAGTCAGATGCTGTGGGTATGTACTGAGTATAGTTGACGCTGGCTTTCGGCATGGATCTTATTTGTTCTCAGTGTTTATTGAGTCCACTTTTCCATGCCAAGTATTCCCAATCTAAATCGAGTCTACCTCAAACCTTAGAATTTGATGGGCAGTTGCGATAGAGAATCGCCTTGGACATTGTTGCAACTACTTACCACGGTTCGCGCACTTGTAATCTGGGTTATGTGGTTCACGATACACCCAATTTTACACCCGAAGTTCAAGGCAAACCTGTTCAACGCAGATATTCTCCACATACCATTCCAGCCAATCTATTCCGTTCATCTTTTATATTTAGTTATCTTCTCATCGTCTATCACGTGCCATAACCTTCCTACAAACACAGACTCTCCGCCCGCCGCGCTCCCAGCGGCCGTCTGTCAGAGGAGAAACTCCATCGATGAAAACCACGCGGTCGTTCTGGTGCCTGAGGACATGCCTATATTCGGACATTACCCTCTGACCGACACCCTGATCACAGCCACATGTAACCATTGCGATGCTACGGTGAAGGAATCGGCCTTCGTGCAGCACATGGGTAAGTGCGACCCAACACGCATAGTAATTCAGTTGAATGTGATGTAGATGTTGGTAGTGGTGTCGCTTATCGCGGGTAGTAGTCAATCTCCGGAATGTTCATCTTTGCATGTGGTAAAAAAACATGTTTTGTGAGAAGTCCAGTACTGGATCTTCACCCGTCCTCTCGCAAATCGTGCCCATATTGCGGTGGTCTGGGGCACAGTGTGTTGTGTGTGCGTAGCTATTGGCAAAAGAGTAGATCTTCAAGAAGGTGTAATTTTATTTTGGGTTGAGGAATCGCTACGAGGATATACTTCTTTTTAACGAGGTGCCCCACACAACTTTGAGTCTTCCTGTCCTGATGTTCGATGGAATAGTCTTTTTGTGTGCTTGCTCCTTTATGTGAATCAATTTTTGAACTATATCCGACTAGAATACATTTTCCAAAGATCGTCGTCAACAGCATTTCTGCTAATCACTCTCATTGTTTATATAGCGCAATCTCACTGGGAGAGTTTGACTCCCAAGCAAATGGCCGAGCTGCCCGCCTATGCTCCACCGAAACCAGTGCAGAAGGTACATACATTTGCGTCATGTGTTTATGGTATACGGAAAATTTCGGTTCGGTTATAGTGTAGTAAAGCACTGCCTAGCGTCCATTTCGGGTCTGGTCACTTTGGTTGTTGTCTGCTTGGGAGTCTTTGCAGTATTGTAGGATGTGAGAGATATTGATGAGCCATGAGTAGCTCTGCTGTTGTGATGTTATTCGGGAAATCTCGGTTAGTAAAGGACTATCTAGCGTTAATTCCAGGTGTGATAACTTCTATTATTGTAAGCATGGGAGGCTTTTCTTTGCAATGCTGTACGGCGAGAAGGTTGTTCACGAGTCATGAGTCGCTCTGCTGTTTTGATATCTTCTTGTACATCGACTTTGTACGCAGTGTAGCGCTATCTGTGCGTGTTGCACAACTCCCTCAGTACCCAGTTCCACAGTGTGGCTTTATCCAAGGCTCTGTAGTGTTATATCTGTAGCACGGACACATGTCATTCTGAAGTAAAACCTCTATACTGAAGTATTGTCCTTATACCTTTATGATGCTGCAGAACCCATCTCTTAAGATTATAATGAAGAGGGAGCCGGGCGTTACAGTTCCGAAAGTGACCGCTGTATTAGATGCTAACCCAGACAGTTACGCGACCGACGATGGGAGCGCGAAATCGAATAGTGGAAGCGATACACCCTCTCGGCTTAGATCAGACAGGGATCGCAATACACCAACTAACTCGACAAGCAAAAATCGGTCCCGGAACTCGAGTCCAGGTGCCAGTGGCCGTGCAAAGTCACAGAGTTCCGCTTTACCACCTTCAAGTTTAAGCGTGCTTACAGGTAAAAGTTCTTTCATTAAGAATGCTACCTCGCTTGTGGGTGAGCAATCGAGTACGTCCAGTGCAACCAAAGGTACAAATGGCGTATCCGTTCCGGGCTCGGTGGGAAGTTCAAGCGCTGGCGAGGGTGTTCAGATAACCACGTCAGCCACGGATATGCCAGCGATAAACGGTAAGAGTACTGTACAAGGTAGTCGCAAATCAACTGGTGTTAGCGTCAGTAAACCCACGGATACCATGGTCGCGAAGATAGGCAGCCTGGACACCACATCAAAGGCCGGGTTGCAAGATGCAGCTGTATCGAAGAATACTGGCGGGTTAACGAGCGACGGTGCCGCTACTACCACCGTGGTCGCAGAACATGGTAGAAATTCATTGCAGGCGACTAGTGCTGTGGCTTCGAGAGAGCAATCCAGGGGACCCTCCCCGGTGCCTACTGTCGTCTTGACAGACAGTAACAACCATTCCACCACTACGAGTTTAACTACCCCCGCAGGAACCGCTGCAGCAGGCAATCCAGGCCCAGCGAACAAAATGACCACACAACCGGTCAAGAGCGACGACACGTATACAAGCCCGTACCCACATCCCCAGGCACCGGTATGGGATACCGCAACGGATTGTTTGTGGTGTTGATGTGTCTGCAATGTCGGGTTCTGCGCGCAGACGCGTTTGCTTTTGCCCGCACTTGTTCTTTTGATTATATTTTTGGAGTTGTTTCAGGCTGGTTCTTCTCAAGAGCCGTTTGAGTGTATCAGAGCGTGGGTCACCCCGGGGTTGTTGTGTGCGTGTGCCTATACGTGCAAGGGTGGGCGGTGAGTATATTGACAGCGACACAAAAGACAGTACAAGGGAGGCCTATATATAAGCGAGGTTATAAGGAATGACCCACACAACAGTGTACGAGTGAAGTGGTTGCTTGATATAGGTGTTCTTGAAACTTTGTAGCAAACTGTACAGCACATTTCTTGTCCATAAACTTTTAATAATCACTTCTATATTTTTTTCTCAAAGTCGCTGCTACTGCGCATCTCGCCCCATTTCCCCCTGAGCCATCGACCCACAGACTCAACCAACAATACGTATATGTAATATGAATACAGATGTATATGCTCACCACACCCATCCTTCGATACAGGGCCAGCCCAAGTCCATTGCAACCGGCAAGAGTGCGACACCAGCGACAGCTAACACAAGCACCGGTAAACCGCTGGGCACACCGACGGCTGGTAGTCTAACCAAAAGCGATAGCAACGATAAATTGAAGGCCAAAAATGTGAAATCGCGGGCCAAAGTGGGGGCCAACGGTACGAAAGTTGGAGCTGCCGGCACAAGTAAACTTAGTAAGAAGGAGAGACTAGCGAAGGCTGCAGCTGCGAAGGGAACCGATAATGCCAAACAGGTTACGGCAAAAGACTCTGGAACAGAGCCAGGGGGTACGGCGGGGAAGGTATGTTGGTGCATGTTTAAGGGGCATGTTGGGGGTAAATGCGCAGGGGGAGTAGGTATTCGCCTGGCTATTATAAGCGGCAAGATACATGTGAACTCTTTGCAAGTGCAGCGAGCTACGCAGATATTGCCCCGGACAGTAGCGTTTGAACACCAAGTTGTGGCTTATTGTATATGGTGGGCATGCTGTATCTCTGACTTGTTCATGAATAGCGGTTTCAAATTTCAAACCTATTCTAGGGCACGTCCTGCTGTATGCCCTTTTTTGGTATATTCACATGGATTTTCTCCAATCGCTGATGAAAGATTTCCACTTCATTTTCCATTCTCGGCGAGTTCTGTTTTGGCTTGACCTGGTTGAAGCTCTCACTGTGGATGTAACATTTTCATATGGGTGGTTGCTACCTTTGCACGGTAAAAGTAATCGCATGTGGCAGATTCTACGGAAAGAACAGTTCGGTATTCAAATTAATAATGTAGAACAATTCAAATTCTTCATAAGCTACCTCGAATCCGAGACCAGAGGAGCATTCGAGAAGCATGGCAACGCTGCTTTATCAAGCATCGGTATCTCAGTGACTGCCAATGTCGATCATCGCCGTATTCTGTCACGCACTTGAGTTACCACGCTGAACACACCCCATAAAGGGTTTACAACAACTTACAGATCGATAAATATATATATATATA